ATCAGTTTTTTTTCCAGATCTCTGTCTCATTAACTGGTGCCCATATCCCAAACCCAATTAGCATCTGAGGGGAAAAAAACATAGTATAAAACGTGTGTTTAGTAAAGCAATTTTCTGGATAGAGTGAAAAACCTGGGCTTTAGCTTTCAATCTGCATATATTTTCCTAAGCAGATCTGTTAGTCAGAATGTTCATATGTCAGGCACAGAGGCAATGCATTGTAATCACTCAGCAGAGCTGCCACGGACACCAGGATAGAGGGCTGAGTGTTATACAAGTGTGTGTTTGTCAGAGGTAATGGCAGAAGAGATTTCCTCTTCCTTCTTTATCTGGTACCAGCCATAAGTGGTGATAACTTGCAGCATTTAGAAGAAACCTCATTCCACCCAGGTGGCTAGTAGCATATGTCTGAGGCTTAAACTTTAGAACCGTGTCAGAAATTGAGTGTTATTCCAACAGCAAGACTTTGCATTTTTATTAAACCCCTCCTTTCTCTCACTAAAGGCACAGTTCTGTCCCAAAATGGAAACAAAGCAATAAATCTTGACTTCCAAAACCAGCTAAGCATGTTGAGTTGACTACCTTGCCTTTACCCAGCATGCAAAAAGAAGGGAATGGATGGCACAGGCTATCCAAATACATACATCTTCTTAAAAGCCCAAAGCATTCTTATCACGGGGCATGTCTGCATGTGTTATTAATGCACTGTAAGCTTGCTGCGCAGTAAGCTTTCCCTGGGAGCACGTCTACACGTGTACTTGTCAGGAGCAAATTTGCTCCCAACAGGAGCAGTTCAGTGCAGGGCTCCTCCTGCCCTGCTCTGCTCCCCTGCAGCAGCCAGGGGGAGATCCAGGCTCCCCTGGGTGCCAGATCTGGGCTGACAGGGGGCACCAGGGTCAGACGTGGGCTCCAAGGGGGTGGGGGGGAACTGTCCCACCTCCAGGGCAGCTGCCTTCCAGGCCCACAGCCCTGTCCCAGGCAGCTGCCTCCTGCCCACCCCCACTCTGAAACTGAAGTAGAGGCTAGGACACCATCCCCTGACACCATCAATCAGAGCGGGGACCGGGCAGCAGGCAGCTGCCTGGGGGAGGGGACAGTTTCCCCGACTCCTGCTGCCTGGGCTGACCAGGAGGAATTTGCTCCTGGTCAGCTATATACATGTGCACTACTGCGCAGTATCTACTATGTGGTAAATCTGCTACCCGTATTTACAAGTAGTAGCCAACGATGCAGTAAACAAATTTACTGTGCAGTAAATGCTGCACTCTTGTAGATGGTGACACTTTACTGCACAGCAGATTAGTCTACTGCACAGTAAAGCATCATGTGTAGGTGGATGCAGCTACATTGGTGAAATGCCTTTTATAGGTTTAACATATTTCCTTCTTATTTGGAGATAGGCTATATCAGTCTAACCCCATACATACTCGTGTACATGCCCCTGTACTAGAAAGATTGTGTCTTTTTGTCTATTCCAATATAGTTAAACTGGTACAATTTGTGTGTCAAGGCAAATCATAATTTAGGCATTTAGGTGTCTTTGACTTTCCATGGGACTTACTGCACTTTTGGCCATTTTTCTGTAAATGCAGGTTACATCGCACTCACCTTAACTCTGATTCAGAATTGAAGGCCAATTCTTCAAGAGTAACCACAACTTCCAACACAAACCAAACCCATAAAGTAAAAAGAAATGTGATATTGTTATCAGTTCAGATTCAAGACACACCATCACCATCTGCTTGACTTATTAAAGAAGTATGTAAATATGTATTTTGTTGCTAGTTCCCTTTTTCCAGGCAGGCTTTCTGCTCCTGATGGTATGCTTATTCAAGAGAACAAAACAATGTTCTTTTGTGAATAATAAATTGATTTTTGCCTTGGCCTTTTAGCTCATTATTAATCTTTTAAAAGGTGAATGTTCTAGCTGCTTTTTAATCCTCCTCTCTGCAACATTTCTGCATCATTTCATGGCACTGGGGAGAGAAAAGAAGCATCTTTTGAGCTGACAGCAAAACTCACAGCCAAATATCATGAGTCCAGTCAAGGGGCAACTTTTTCAAAAACTCCTAAGTTCGAGGTCACTGACATTTCTGATATAGGGGCAGATTTTCGATGGTAGTCAGGCCTCCAGCATGCTCTTCCCAGCTTCTGTTAGGCATCCAAATGATTTGAATATCCAAGTCCTATTGACTTTCAATAACAGTCAGGGAGTTTGGAACTTGATTGTGGTTAAAAATCCATGCCCTTGACACTTATGAAAATTTTGCCTACTATTTCCTTCCTCGGCCTCCTTGGAATACAGACCTACCCGTCCGAGGGACAAGAGTTTTCACCCACAAATGAAACACTGGGCTGTTCCCCAAGGACTTATGATATAAATATTTATTCTACTCTAACTGCAGTGCCCATATCAGTTATTCACAGATCATGAGACAGGACATCAACAGTCATGAGATCAGCTTCAACACAATGCAGTTAACTAAATGCATATGTTTTGTCTTTTCATTCCTAAGCCTTTAAGATGTATTCAAGTCACATCTTCAGACACCAACAAGAAGAGCTAGAAACTTTTCTTTTTGAAATGCAAACTGGGATGTTTACCTCATCACATGAATCTGTGAGCTGGAGCTTTTGGGAAAATGCTGAAGATCACGAGATGACCAATAAAACCCTAGAAACTATGAAACTATTAAACAAAATTATGACAGTTGTCAACACCGTTATTAATAATAAAGGATACCAAATAGTAGGTGTATTAGGTGTGGAGATCACCGTATCTTGGGAGCACGGCACAAGGTATGTGAAACACTTGAGCCCTAAATTGAGTTCTGAATTGGCGGGTCCAGGAATCAGCTCATAAGTCCCAGTCCAGTATCCAGTCCATGCCATTTTTCTTAAGCAGTTGATTCTACTTTCCAAAGTCCTGAACCTAGACAATAGACAGGTTCCTTCCAGGACATAACACCCACAGAGACATTTTCTGAGCTACACCAGAATGTGCTTTGAAAAGCCACAACTACACAGTACATTTCTCCACCTCCAAAGACAATTAAATATGAGAAGAGAAACTATACTGAAAAAAGGAAACCCCCACAGGAACCACGTTTAACCCTGGTATGGCAAAGTATCAGCTCTAAAACAAAGTCACAGTCAGGTTCAACCTCCCTATCAACCATTTCTACAACCTCCTGCTTTGAATATTTCATTTATTTAAAAAGAAAAAAAAAGGCCACCAGACCTAGAGACAGGAGGAACCTCTTCAACTATACTCCTGTTATAATTTTGTTAGGGGCCACCAATAACCTTGTGCATTGGGGAAGACTGTGATGGCACTGGAGGGAACTTCGTGCACCTTGGAATGGGTCCTGGAAAATGCTACAGTGAGTGATAGCTTTTGCTACCATTCCCGAGCATCCCATATTTTTCCCAGCAGGAGACAGCATGTGCAGTCATTTACAAAGCAATGCGGCTATATTTGCCGCTGGCTTTCAAAGAGCTGAGTAAATCTATCCAGAAAGGAGGAGGGTGCAAAAGGGGTTCTGAAATAACTTGTCTGGTAATTACACCACGCACGACCACGGCGCTTGTTGTTATCACGGATGCTTCATTTTCAGGACGTGGTTTGTTCCCTTTTCGGCTGCTCCAGCGAAGCTCAGGAATTCAGCACCCGGGCCAGACCTCAAGTTACAAGAGGAAAAGGTCATCCTTAGTTATATGGATTTTTTTTTTCATGTTTGCCACTAGCAACTTTAGTGAGGGTATGTACAAGCTTGGAGTAGTTTTGTAAGCCCTTAAGATGTCTGTAGTTCAGGAGCAGCATTCCAGAGTAGCAGAAAGGAGGAAGAGTTAAAAGCTGCTTTCGGACCTCCTTCTCTCTATGCTTACTTGGTCCCACTGCTAGAAAAGGTATTAGCAAGGCCTGTCTGACTTACGTTAGTCAAAAGTGGAGCCTAAGGCCATGTCCACATGAGCACAGGCATTTGTTTCCCCAGGGACAAGAAGCAGTGGCACACCTTATGCTGCTGCTACTTGATCCCGGGAAACGTCCATGCCATGTGCTCTCTGGCATGTAGCAGGTTACCCTGGGAGGTGTAGAGGAGGTTGGGGCCAGCACTGTCCTTGCCCCAGTAGCTTTTTCTGGGGTCCTGGGGGCTGGGGAAGCTTCAGCTACAATGCTTCTGCAGCTGGGAGCCGGGCTGGCAGCTGGAGCATGGCTGGTTTTGGGTGGCGCACACTGCTGCCACATGCACCGGACCACTTTTTTTTTTGCATGGTTTTTTTTTTGGCCCCCCAAGGTGAAAAGAAAACAACCCACGCTGCAAGGTAGCAGTGCAGGGAATGCCTGAATTAGTGGTGTGTTGCAAGGGCCTGTCTGCAGTGCCACATGCATGGCCATGCTCATCTGGGCACAACCCAGGTGTCCATCTGCTTTCTGTGTTATACAATCCTATAGTCCCGTGGGGGTCAGCCTGTTTGCCAGGCGTGCCATAAATTAGTCCCATACTCCCTCCCCACCTCCTTCCCCGGGCTAAGCTGCTGTTTTGCTTTCTGCTCCCACTGTCCTGCCTGTCCCCTCCCTGATCTGCCACGTGCTATACACAGAGGCTGTCTGTGTTGCTTGTGGCATGCATGGCACATGTTGGCCAGCCTTGCCATATGCCGGCATTCTCTTGGGGGTTAGGTTATTCCAGCCTTTATGTGATTATGCCAAGAATTAAGGAGGGAAGGAAATAAGGCTCCCATTCACTCCCAAGCATGACACCAGCCTTGGAGAGGAGAACAGGAAAAAGAAAAGGGCAAACTGATTTCCTCCCTGAAGCAAGCAAAGAGTTGTAGAGGAATGGTGATTCTCAGCCACTTCGGCTGTGCTTTTCTCCAGTAGCAGAGCAGCCATGGGCCAGCCCTTAGGGCAGAATATAAGGCCACAGCCCAGTCCTTCATCAGTTCTCTGTGCTGCCCAGTGAAACATAGGATGATAGAGAATGAGGCTTGGGAGGGACCTCAGGAGGTCACATCTAGTCCAACCCCCTGGTCAAGGCAGGATCAGCCCCAACTACATCATCCCACCCTCTACATCTCAGTGTGGCTTGCGTTGAGTGTGTTCCTTCATGTCAAAAGTGACACGGGCTGGTTCTTTTGTGCTCTTTGTCCCGATTGCTGGTGGTCACAGAAAGGTCATTTTGAATAAAGCAAAAATGCACTGGTTTAACTCAAAGCCTCCCCAGCTTTGCTGCAAGGATGCTGGCATAACACCAGCCGCATGGTACCTGGGCATTTCACCACTGGCAGACGACTATGCGTGGTGCCTTCTACAATTGCACACACCTGCATTTCACGATCTAGTTCGTGGCTTCATCCCTTTAAAGTATAATATGGGGTTTTGTTTTACAGGGAAGAAATGAAGAAGGAACAAGGCATTTCATGGAGTAAGCCTGTACTCCTGTGAATTCTCTGGATGAAAGGGAGGAAGTTAAGTAGTTCTGGCAATCAGGCAGTGAGAACAAGACAAGACTCTTATGTCATACGTGGGGGGACCTGAATTAATGCATTATGCTGTAAATCGCTCAATTTGTTTTTGCTGCAAAGAAAGAGTCTTCTGAAAGTCTATTATTATTTCAAAGAAAAGAAATATATACCACAAGGAAAGGAAGGCAAAGCCTCTGTACTCACCTACACGGGTGACCCAGAAAGGGCAGTACAAGGGGCTGGTCATTTCCCTATTGGTCAAAGGACCTCCATGAGGAACCACTCCCTTTCCTATCGAAGTAGGTGGAGCCTGGACTCAGCTCCTCCCCCAGTATCTCATCCATTACAATTTAGCTAGCACACTAAAGGCAGTGACCTATGCCTAGTCTAGGACTGGAAAAAATTACTACCTGCTCCGATCAGCATGTTGGGAACTAGGACCTAGAAGAGTTCAATGGTGCATGATCCATTCCTGTCCACTTAACAACCAGTCCTTGTTCCCTGGCTTTCAGACATCACTGAGGCTTTTGATCTCCAGTATTATGGTTATTACAACCATCTCTTCCCTTGCTGAGTCCTGAACAGCACGGTCATCGAGCAGCCACACCATCCTATTTTAAGGGACCACGTTCATTCATGAAGGTACCCTGATGCCACCTAAATCACAGCACTGAAAGCACTCTTGGCCCTAATCTACAGAGCAGACAGACATACAGGGCCACATCTTCAGCAGCCATAAATGAACTTACTTCCAGTAAAGGAAAGGGTGGGATGATGTAGTTGGGGCTGGTCCTGCTTTGAGCTGGGAGTTGCACTAGATGTGACTTCCTGAGGTCCCTCACAACCCTCATGCCCTATGATTGTATGGTAAAGTCCTCTCAGCAGAGTAATCCACTGATCCACTGAATGGAACCCATATTCATTATACAGAAAATGACTAATATAAGAGAGAAAGAAAAACTGAATAATTAAGAAGACATAAACTATCTAGGAGCTCTGGTAATATAATATCTTTCTATGAAAGCTTCCTCTGATACAAAGGTGAAAGGAGCAGTCCTGTGGGACTTGGCCAGAGTTACAGATGTTGGCACCAATTGGTTAAGCTGTGAGTGTTATTCAGAGGTGGGTGGCCAGCTAAATTCAACACATGAGTCCTTTGGTAGACACGCTGTTAAAGGAGAATGCAGTAAATACGTGTGCAAAAGGTGTATCTGGGTAGGACTAAGTCAGCCAGAACTAAGGACTGAGTTGTTAACGTCCTCTTCTGATTTAGATTGATTCTAATTGCAAACATAAGTCAGTTGATTGTATTCAGGTTTTATTTATGATCAGTTCTGATTACACAAATTATAACAAATGAGAATTAGGTTGTAAGTAGCCCAGCAATAAGCTCTATGTTGCTAGGTAACAAGCCAACATTATTTCAAACAGTCCAATCAATGAGGGAGCAAGTGAAACAACTGAGCTATTGTTGCCACCATTCCCCATTCTTTAGACTTTGCTCTTAAAAGCTTTTAAAAAAAATTTCCATTAGTGCCCGTCCATTTGTTTGTTTGTTGCTTGAGAGTGGGGAGGTGCTTGGCTGTGTTTCAAATGGGAGTATCATGTTGGGGCTTCTGCATTATGAAAAGGTTTTCGGACCAGTCACCCCGAGCGCCAGGTGGAAGGGAAGCATCTCTGGGTGTCAGAGGCATCTCAGGATGCTGCTGGGGTAATCGGTAGCTTTGGCTCACACATGACTTTTCCAAGCTGAGGGACAGCTTGACATCTCAGGGAGATGGGTGCTTGGAGTGTGGTCTCATGTCACAACATGCAACAAACTCACATGTTAGCTCCCAGAGGACCTTTCTTCCCTTGCCCCAAATCCATCAGCCAGCTCACGGTTTCAGGGTGGGCACAGCTCAGGAAAAAAGTGTTGCCATCTCTGAGATGTACTCATAGGGCCTGTCTACACATGCATTTATGCCGGCTTCAATTTACTGCGCAGTAAGCAGAAATAGGCCAGCACCGATACATGCAGGCATTAAAGTGCATTAACGCAGTGTGTTGACGGTCTCAGGAAAGTTAGTCTAAAGTTAGTCCCAAGTCACTCCACACATACAGTGTTACTGCGCAGTAAGGCATCTACACATGTGTTACTGCGCCGTAACTAATCGGTCATAAATTTGATACCTGCATGATGCAGGTATCAAATTTATGCTCAAGTCGGCAGAAGTCACCACATTTACTGTACAGTACGGGTGTGCACATGTAGAAGCGTGCCCGTACGGCGCAGTAATTTCGGTTACTGCACAGTAAATGTATAGATGTGTGTATAGATGTGCCCATAGAGCTCGGCTTGGCTGGGAGCAGTTTTATTCAGGATAGGAACAAGTCTCATATGTTAGAAGCAAAGGGCACATGTGGGAGGCCAGAGCTGAGGGTGTAACGGCAGAAGTGTAGCAGAGTGCCTGCTTTACCCAGCAGGCTCGAGCTTGAACCTCCACGCTCGCTATGAACAGGGTCTTACAGGTGATCCAGAGCACTGGCAGCCCTTGTGCAGCCCTGCTGTGGTTTGGAGGAGGCAGCTTTTAATCAACCTGAAAATAACCTGAACAGCCCAATGAAGCGTCTTTTCTCTGGAGATATGTCAGGAACGCTTTCAATCTATTATCTTCCCTGGAACAACAGGAGAAATGCCACCGAAATAAGCCCTTTAATTTCTACTCTGTAATTATACCTGTCACCACTTCCGACAAAGCAGTTATAAATAGCCAGTTCCATCTTACTTTCATGGTGTAGGGTTTTTTTGTTGTGGTTTTTTTTTATTATTATTAATTTTTTTAAAAAAACCTTGTACCCCTGTCTCTGAGGGTAATACTGGAATAAGATGCACAAAATAAATGGAGCGTTCAGCACTATATATTTCCCTTGCGTTCCTAAGCGGTGTGGTGCTTGTGATGGCAATGGATTTTGTATAATCTTGTTTGCTCAAGAGGAATTGTCTGCAAGATTTGTGTCACATGATGAGGCTAGAGAGAGTGCGATAAAAGGGCTTATATGTTTTAATGTGTGTTTTGAGTCCCATACCTCTGTGTATATGGTTAAACCTATATTTATTTGGGAAGAACAAGCAAGCTCATGCCAGAGCCTGAAACCTGAAATGCAAATTGCAGTGCTTTTAGTCAGTTCTCATTTTAAAGTCCTCGTGTTAGCTGGGTAGATTTCCTCTCTTTTCCCCAGAAATGCTGGAGATGATGCATTTTAGAGGGAGGAAGCGACTGCAGTAATTTTTAACTTGCCACCATTTGAATATACTGGGCCCAATTCTCCGCTGCCTAATTGCTGTCAGTGGAGCAGTGACAGTTATAGAAGCTGAGGATCTCAAAGCTGATGTGACGATCTCTTTGCATGGGGATGAGAGAGACCTGTGACCCGACTAATCATTCGTGGTGGTTCCTAGATCTCGGTGGAAACGCCAAGGCAGCGCATAGCGTCGTTTGAAGAACCGCTGCACAATGCATTTACAAACCACCTCCAACCTTGCCACTTTCTCTTCCAAGGACAAGATACACTTCTTTGACCTTCTCTTTAATAAGCAGTCTTAAAACAAAGAAGCAAATGCATTTAAAAATAATCTCACAGCATTTCATCACCCCAGGGAAAGAGAACTCCATGTGACAATATGCTAGCTACATCAGCTCGTATACTCGTGGATGCAGCTCAGATGCTGCACTAATGAGGAGGGTACCAGAATATGAGGAGGGTAGGATCGAATAAAATAATTCTAGCGAGAGGGAGCATCTATCTTTTTAATAGCTAGCTTTCTTGCTGATGGACCTATATGGAAGTACTGCCAGCTGAGAAACTAATTTGTAGTTTTCAGGGGATTTACCCCATTCTGATCCATAGTTATGAGCTCTAACATTATTTATGGTAGCAGCACTAGAGGTCCCCAAATAAACTCAAGGTTGTCATTGCACTAGGCACCAAACAGTATATGTGGATGGTGCGTATAAGTTTGACTCCATGTTTTCAGGTTCAACTTTAGAAAAAAAAAGACCTTTTCCCCCTGAATAAAAATGAGTGTTTCTGCAAGACTCAACTCAAAATCAGGCATTACGGCTCAATTATAGCCCAATGCTCACTTATCATAGTATCATAGTGCTTAGGGTTGGAAGGGACCTAAATAGATCATCAGATCCGACCCCCTGCCCCAGGCAGGAACGAGTGCTGGGGTCATAACACCCCAGCCAAATATCTATCCGGCCTCCTCTTGAAGATACCCAAGGTCAGAGAGAGCACCACCTCCCTCAAGTCAAGTATGATTTCCATGTTTCTCGCAGATGGGAAAAGTGTTGATTTCTAATAGGAACAGTACAGGAATAAGAGATGTTCCCCATCCTGGTGGTTCAAGCACCCACTTTGAACGCCCTCAAGAGACATTTGGATGTCTATCTTGCCAGGATCCTGTGACCCCAGCTGACTTCCTGCCCCTGGGTCATGTTTATGAAGTCTATGAAATCCTGTGCTTGTTTAAGCATCTGGGAAAGACTCAGACACGTGCCACGGTCCCATAGCAGGTTAACGGTAAAGCCGGGACTATAATCCCCCTGCTCAATATTTCATTTGAAGAATGGTGCCTGGTTCATGAGACATCATCGGCCTCTTGAGAGCAGACGTGTGGTCTTGTGAATCGATCGCCTCTTCCTGCAATTCTGGTGCCAGGTCAGGTTTGCAGATGGGCTGCATTTACATGTCCTTTCTGTATGGCATAAAGCCCTTTGGTACGAGTTTGAAAGTCAGTGCACAGCCAGTGACTTCACTTGGGGCCCAAATAAGAAACTCCCCCCCACCTATAAGTCTTAGCCCAGCCAAGTCATACCAGCCCACACAAAAAAATAAGCTGAAATCGAAACTTCTCGGCATTGTTCCTGTATTGCATTATTCTCAGAAAGCCAGTAAAGAAAGAGTGCTTGAAGTTTGATTCTGCTGAACTGTTGAGCATCCACAGGCTTATTAGAAGAATCGAGGTAGCATTTGTTGCACTATATATAGTCCGGGACAGAGAAAACCAGGGCCATTGTACAGAGACTCAGATAGGCCTCTTAGCGAGATCTATAAGTGAAACTCCTCAGGCCCAAATTGCATCTGCAATGTAATGAATCGTGAATGATGCCATCCCAGGTGCCATGGAAAAAAGCAAGGCCGGTAGGATTTTTTGCAGTCCTTTATTTTGAAGCACGTGGGTAGCAGCGTTTGATCATTATGAACAGCCCCGGTGACTGTGTTTGCAATTGGCCCAAGCAAAAATCTGTGCCTCACAATTTTTATTTTTGCACAGCCCAAAGCAGATTTTATTGCCGCGGTCTAAAGTGATAAACGTGCCTTAATTAGCTAGGCCCAACGTTCAGATCAGGCTCGCTGCTCGAGGAAGTTGCTGGCTTATATACATTTGAGTGGGACAATTCAAATCGATGACCGGTAACCCTGAAAGAAAATGTCAGCGCAATGCAAAATGATTTTTAATCGCTGCTCCCAGCTCATTAACGGGAAAGCCCAACATCAATGCTTTTGTTTTAAAGGTGCCTTGCTGCAAAATAAAAATGAACCAGAATGAACCTCCCGTGGGCCAGATTTTCAACAGCTCAGCTCCAAATAGTCCAGATTCGCAAGGGCTCAGGGGCTCCTTGGAGAGGCAGGAGCAATATGAAGGCAAGGGAGAGGCAGGGCTTTCTCAGTGCCTCTGCAAGGTTGTGCACCACACACCTCACCTGGCATTCGGGGGAATGCACGAGAACCCGTTTTCCCTGTCTTCTCACCCAAAAATGTCACTCATGGGCAAAGACCAGCCTAAAAACAGCAAAGAGAGTCATGGAGAGGATATTTAGACTGCAAGCTTTCTGTGGCCAGCAGTGCACCGCCTCTTTGTTCCCTGCAGTGCAAAGCTTCTCAGGATACTAGTCTCTGACAATGCTTTTTGGTGCTCGTGCAATAAAACGATGCTGCTGCTGCTGCTGCTGCTGATGCATTTCACACCCAACTCATTTTCAGAAGAAAACTTCTGTGCATGGGGAACAGATCTTTTTTTACCAACATTTTCTTAAGGAATAGCTGTACTAAGTAACCTTCATTCCTCCTGTCTCCTACTGAGTAGATTCAATCATCCGTGCACCATTCGATCCAATACATCAGACCGTGGCCCCCACACACCGTTCCCATCTTTGACAGGATCTTTATATTACTGCATTTTCCAAATGGGTGCAATGGAGCTGGCACTGGGACCCTCCAATCACTTCCTCTGGTGAGTGGGATATCATAATTTGTGACTTTTTCTACTATCATTTTTCCCTTAGCAAACATTACAGGGACATTAGAGGAATCTTTCTTAGCACATTTCAAAGCCATCAGAAGCGTTCGTGGCTTGCTAAGCTCAAGAAGCCTTTATGGATTTATACGGTTGAGGAGACATAAGTCAGAAGACATAGATCGAGTCAACCGTTAACCAGTTTTCCCCCCACGAGGGTTAATTGATACAAATGGGCTGAAAGGCAAATGAGTCCAATAGCACAGCTTCCAAAAAGCTGTGTGTGAAGGACGTGGAAAAAGAATCCAATCCCCGAATACAGCAACCTGTGCTGGCAAAAATATATATATCTAGCAAATCACCCGCAGGATAAATGTATAAAACTCAGGCGTGGGAAAGGTATGCACAGACCCAGCATGAAAAACGAACACAGGATGACCCTTATATAGGGCAGTCAATCACATTCAAGCATTTAAAATTGCTCTTCAAGACTAGATTCACAAACCTGTTTTTTACTATTATTATTTGATGAGCAATCGTACAGAAGAGATTTTAATGCAAAACGGTCTGCTTTTTTTCCTGTCTTTCTTTTTTTACAGTTTGTAGCTTGAACAGCAAACAAAGCATGTTTGATGGGTGCTACAAAACTTTGTAGTGTAGGTCGGGCCTCAACTTGCTCCAGTGCTGATGTTTAAGTCTAAGTCCCTTCGTTTTCTTCTCTTTGAAGTTTCAGTGCCATTTAACTCATGTTTTGGAAGGGCATAAGTCACCTCAATACAACCTTAACTCTGTGGTAATGACGTTTTCCCTGCCTGTGACTCTCTACAAAATCGGTGCTAAGCAAGTTACCCCAAACAGCTTCCAAATACTTCGTGTTTTTTCATTTGCCAGCTCCTCACCCTAATACACCAGAGAGCACTAAGTTTATATTCCTCCCAGTATCTGCAGAATAAGTGAGCTGGGAGACTTCTCCAGCCCTAAATGGAGAAAAGATTAACTATAATTAGATAGGGGACATAACTGCCTTTTATAGCATTGCTGAGACTGCTACATTCATCTTCTTAAAGTTAATATTAAAAGGTGGCTTAATCTCTGTCTCCCTTAGGTCTTCATATGGCCCTCCTACCATAGTGTCTGAAGGCCTCAAAGCCATCCATGAGTTTATCTGCACAAAACCTTTGTCATATAAGGAAGGGAAATTATGCCTGATGGCACAGATGGGAAACTGAGGTCCAGAGACCAATCTGGGGCACAGCAGGGGTTTGGGTTCAGCTCTTTTGAACCCCAGACTTATACCCGACCCACAGCATTGGCCTCCTATTCTAGGAACTTGATATTAGATCTTTTTACCTAGCAGATACTCATCTAGCAAGGCCTAAACTGGAAGCTAGACACAGGAAAATTGAACATCAGGAGATGACAAGGGGAAGGTAGGGCAGGGTGGCACCTTAGAGAGTCACTGGTTCAGAAAGGCAGCCACCTGAGTCCTCAAATGCTATCTTCTGCCTGACTTCAGACTAGCAAGGCTAACCACCACCTCTGTGAACAATAAGAGGAATTAGCCATTAACCAAGTGCAGCAAACTCTTCAGGCAAAACTCCTGGTCCTACGGAAAGCAAAACACGAACTGATTTGAACAGGGACAGGCTTCACCCATCGCCTCTTGAATCAAACTTATTTCAACTGCAGGTAATTTGGCTCCACGCATGGACCATGGAGGTCTCTATGATCCTGCAAGTCAGACGGGACGATCACAGTGGTTCCTCCCAGCCCTAAAATATACAAATTATTCATTGAAAAGACTGTGACATCAAGTGATAGGCCAGCGATAGCCAAGAGGGGTTTTCAAAGACGATCTTCTTCTCATTAAAAAATCCTTATCAATAAAGAAAGAGGAAAGGGAAAGAGATTGAATTGTTAAAACAGGAAGAAATTGTTCCCAAATAAAATTAGTTTCTGCAGTTTCCAGGGGGGACAAGCTGCTCTTCATGTCTTCTTTAATAGTCAATTGGCATAATTAAAATTTTAGCTTTTCAAATGTTACCCAATGGGCTGTGTCCTTGAGCCTTGTCAGAGCACTGAAGCAGACGCAACTCCCATTGATTTTGGGGGTAATTTAGTCTGGATAAGAACTGCTGTGTTCAACCCCGCATATTTAAAGGTCTGAAATTAGAGGAAGGAAAATCTGGGAAGAATTGATGAGCTCAAACTCACTAATAAGGAATCTCAAAGATTTTTAGCAAATAAAACCTTCAGTATTTTGTGAATGACAAAAACTTGCGTCACCAAAAGGCCTCCTGAGATGTCCTGGAAATACATTTATTTATCACCTTACCGCTCAGCCTTCTCTCCACAGTTGCGTTTGGAAAGTATGGGTTTTTGCAGCTTACCGTCACCTATCTGTACTTATGTATCAAACAGGTTTTACTAGTGGGTATTTTTGCCTTGGCAAAGGCAGCTAAGCAGAATTTTTTTATCACAGAAATATCCTCTCTAAGAATTAATAACTGATGAAAAAGAAGGGATAGGGGCAGGTGTGTGTATGTGTATATGTGTGCGCACGTACATGTATGTGTATGTGTGTGTATGTCTGTAGGTGTAAATAATATGCGTTGTGTGTGTGTATACACATACATATACACATTATTTATACTTAACACACATACACACACATACATATATGTACACCTACTTGTATATCCAATTCTATGATTCTGTGTGTGTGTATACATACATGCACACATAGAATGTGTGTCTGTGGGTGTAAATGCACACACACACACTTAGAATCATCCTAGCAAAGGGACCTTTGAAGGGACCTCCAGAGCGCCAAGCAGGACCCGCCCCAACCACATCATCGCAGACAAGGCTTTGTCTAGCCGGGTCTTCAAAACCTCCAAGGAAGAAGACTCCACCACCTCTCTGGGTAACCTGTCCCAGTGCTTCACCACCCTCCTCTTGAGGGAGCTTTTCCTAATATCCAACCTCAACTTCCCTTGCTGCAGCTTGAGCCCATTGCTCCTTCTGTCATCTGTCCCCACTGAGACCAGTCCAGCTCCATCCTCTTTGCAGCCCCCCTGCAGGGAGGTGAAGGCTGCTATTCAATCCCCCTCGGTCTTCTCTTCTGCAGCCTAAATCAGCCCACTTCCCTCAGCCTCTCCTTGCAAGTCATGTCCCCCAGCCCCACAACCAATTTCATTGCTCTCCGCTGGACTCTTTCCAGCTCGTCCACATCCTTTATATAGTGGGGGGCTGAAAACTGGACGCAGGACTCCAGGTGTGGCCTCACCAGTGTTGAATAGAGGGGAAAGATCATTTCCCTTGATCTTGTAGCAACGCTCCTACCAATGCAGCCCAGGATGCTGTCAGCCTGCTTGGCACCAAGGGCACACTGCTGCAGCATATTCAGCTTCTTGTCTGCTGTGATCCCCAGGTTCTTGTCTGCAGAGCTGCTGCCCAGCCAGTCACCCCCAGCCTGCACCGGTGCAGGGGATTGCTCCCTCCTAAGTGCAGGACTTTGCAATTGTCCTTGTTGAATCTCATGAGATTTCCTTTGGCCCAGTCCTCCAATTTGTCTAGATCACGCTGTATCCTAGCCCTACCCTCCAGTGTATCTGCTACACCCTGCAGCTTCGTGTCATCCGCGAACTTACTGAGGATGCAATCCATCCCACTTTCCAGATCCTTAATGAACATACTTACATATTGAATATATATTGAATACATTGAATATACTCACAAAGATAGATAGATAGATAGATAGATAGATAGATAGATAGATAGAAAAGATTCCAAGTAGAAGTGTTCCTAAATTGTCCATGAAACTGTATGGAGTTTGGTTTGTGCGTAGAAAATCTTCTTTGCTTGGCACCATTTACATTTGTCTTGCAAGACAGTATACCCAAACCTACACCAACCTGGGCTGGGAAGTAACCAAGCTTGTTCACCCGCTTTACCTCTTTTCTACATAACACAAATCTATCACAGCTGCCCTCTCCTTGCCTCCCAAAAATCCTCAGATTTTTCCAGGCCACGAATATCCTGTGCATTGAAACCATCTGAAGTCTCACCGTCTAGTAGATGGCAGGAAACTTACCCTGTCATGTTGTACAGACCATTCGCCGGCTCCATGCTAAGATTCAGCCCTCTTGCGGGAAAAAATGTGTCAGGGAGAGAGCTGGTAACAAGAAAATGAAATGTCCCGGATAGTAAGCGATTTTTTAAAGGGTTGACTGAATTATTAAACTCCCTTAGATTGCATTCCCTCACTGATGAGATTGCTCAGTTGATCAGTCTAAATAGCCCATGTTTGCTCCCGCTGTATAAATAAAGAAGGCAATGAAGGAGATAAATAAGTTCCCATGAAGCTGGCACTGATGCAAGGGTAAAAGAAAAATTGCAAAGAAAGGATGATCCATTGTTCTGGGGTATTTTTATCACGTTAACCTTTCTCACAGTTTGCTTCTTGCTTGTCCTGCCAATACAAATGCGTTCTGTTCATTTCTTCATTTCCTTCTAATGACCTTCCTTAATTCAAACTCAATTAATTTACTAATAAAAGTAGACAGTAACAAAACAAATTGTTTGTCTTTTTTGGCATGGTAAAAAGGATCCGCGTAAGCACTGGTCTTGCATTAAGTCGTCATTTCGTGAGTCCAGATGTGCCGTCAAAAAGTCAAATCCACCTCTTGTGCCAACTCCTTCCCTGAAACTATTGACTGACCTTAACCTCCTGGAAATCACCACTCAGACCATGGGATGTTTTGCTTCCAAGAGATTTATGAAGCACTGTTCCCTGCATCCATATTTCAAAATGCATGCATATTTGATCATCCAAGGAGATAGATGTGACTAATGTGATAATAAGCATTATAAATGATGGGTGCCCTGCAAAACAAATCTATTTCTGCATAAAATCTGTGTGTCTTATTTACCAGCATCCTTTCTGGAATCACAAGATTGATTCTGTACTGGTGTCTGGGTCCTTTCCAGCCAGGGCACCCATGCATCAAGACTTAAGTCGTGCTTTCTCTGGCATTTTTTGGTCTTCCAGTTCCTTTTTTCCCCACCTTCAAATCCATCTTCTGCTGCTGAACCTGATAGTGTCACCAAGCTCCATCTCAATGTGCGTAAGAGCAGACAGCATGGAGAAACCCATCAATTAGTACTTTTACCCCTTTTGGGTCTACCAAGACAATGGTCTACATGTTCAAGGAGGTTAAGGGCATATTTATATCCCTTCACGGTGCCCCTGTAATATGGCTGAGAAGAAAGCCCCATTTATCTTCTCTTGCACTGATCATGCCAAAGCTGGAGTGCCTAAGGGCTATTGCTGCTGTTACCAAGCAGCGTTAAAACCAGGATCCTGAGAACCAAAAGGAGAAGGCGTCCTCAAGGTGACTTCTTTGCTTTATCTCTAGTTTCTAGGTGGTGTTCTCCAGAGCCCACAAATGTCCTGATCCCCTGTTTCCTTGAAGGGGTTCACTGCTAAGATGGTGCTAAATAAACCAGGGTCAGCATGTGAATAGCTTACATCTCTTAGAGACCAAAGCTGCTGTACTTTTTGCATCCTGGCACTCATAGATATAAAGTGCAGAGCTACACCAGAGTCCAGCTGTGGAGGGGTTTTAGCCAAGCAAAGAATAATGACCATGAACGGTCCCATCTGTGTCCATTGCAGCGCATGCCAAAGACTGGGTCGATGTAAAGATGAAGGGTGCAATAAATACAGAGAGCAAGAGAGGTGTCTGCAGCAGAAAGCTCTGAATTGGAGCTGCATTCTCCAAATCTCAGGGGTGCTTGATTGCATGGTTCTGGTTTGTGCCTCTGTTATAATAAAAGCCAGCTCTGCTTCGGGGGACTGCAGTGGGTGGCACTGCAGGGAAGAGATCTCCAGTTCACAGGCCAGACTCAACATCCCATTTGCAGACGAGAATGGCAATCACCATGTACAACCTCATATTGTAGTGGCAATGACCCAGAGAAACATAACGCAAGGGGCTTCCTCAAAGTGTCAGCAAAGCCGCAGGCTTGTCGTCCTCCTCCAAATTCTTTCCGAAATCCCGCCTCTGGCTAGGTGGACAGGTGCTGGTGCCATGGCTCATCACAGACCAGCGTTCCCCCATTGTTCCTCCCCCCAAATGCCTGCGTGCATCCATATGTTGAGCCTGGTAGGACGCTTCAATTGTCAGCACCTTGGAGCAAAGACGTTCTACGTTTGCACAGCGCCTAGCACCACAGGTGCATAACTAGGGCTCCTAGGAGGCATTGCAGCACAGTGATCCGTCTACCGCCTGAGCAAGGAGGGCAGGGCCGCAGAGGGCATGAATAGTCACCGGCTGCATCATGATCTAGCAAAGGGGACTAGCCCCTTGCTCCCAGGAGCAGTAAGCGCCTGATCCAGATCCTATTCTAGGGATCGGAAAGATAGATGCAGGATCAAGTTCTAGCTTCACTCCCATTGTAGTGCTATGAGAAACAGCCACCGCCCGCCATCAGCTTGGGTTTGCATAATGCGGTACCCAGGGCAGGGAAGAACTGCTGCATCGAATCTCTCTTTTAGATGCTGTCGCAATAGCTCCAGTGAGTGTTCAGCAGACTTTTCCCTCTGCCCCCCACAACAAGTAGGCTCATGCCCTCTCCTGCTAGCCCTGCCTAGCCCCCTCCAGAGACTCCCTCATGGATACAGCATCCTCCTCCCCGCTGGCAAAACCAGCAGGACCTCATTAACACTGCCGGCAGCCCTGTCATTTCTTCCTTCCCCTGCAACGGCAGGAATCTGTGCAGTTGCGGGGGCATCTTCCAGACCGAATAATAGATTACATCTCCACTTGCTTGTTTGCTGCTTGATATAATTAGAGGAATTTGCATCTCCTGATTGCTCACCCTCCACAGGAACAATGGCAGCTAATGACAGCCACGTAGTGGTTTTGCTTCATTAGCATGTGACAAGAGGGCCCCTTCTGCCTGCTGGCTTGGGGGCATGCTCAGCCTGTAGACTGCAGCCTGGCATGGGCTGGGGGGAGGGGTGGATGAAGCGTGCACATTTTGCACAGCTATGTGCCTGACTCCTTTGCACGCTAGCAATACAGCAGATAATGGCTGCTCCTCGGGTGTGCGATTCTGCATTGGTGTCTCTACAGATGTGCAGCTAAGAAGGGGAGCCGGAGTCGGAGGAATTCTCCCTTGCGCGGCTCATGGATGGGCTGGGGGGAAACAGTGGTGCCTCCATTCACAGGGTGAAACACAAGGTGCTCTTCACCAGCACCGCAGGCCAGGAAGAAGTGGCTGCGGTGCAGCCTCCTGCACACACCTCCTGGTGTGAAAGTTTTTCCTAATATCCAACCTTAACTTCCCTTGCTGAAACTGGAGCCCATTGCTCCTTCTGCCATCTGCCCCCACTGAGACCAGTCCAGCTCCATCCTCTTTGCAGCCCCCCGGCAGGGAGGTGAAGGCTGCTATTCAACCCCCCTTGGTCTTCTCTTCTCCCGACTCAATCAGCCCAGGTCCCTCAGCCTCTCTGCACAAGTCACGTCCCCCAGACCCCCAACCATTTTCATCACCCTCTGCTGGACTCTCTCCAATGTGGCCACATCCTTTATCTCGTGGGATGCCCCAAGCTGGACACAGGACTCCAGATGTGGCCTCCCCAGTGCTGAATAGCGGGGAAGGATCACTGCCCTCGATCTGCTGGCACCGCTCCTGCCAATGCAGCCCAGGATGCTGTTGGCCTTCTTGGCAGCAAGGGCACACTGCCGGCTCCTGTTCAGCTTCTTGTCCCCTGTCACCCCCAGAGCTGCTGCCCAGCCCGTCGGCCCCCAGCCTGCACCGGTGTCTTGTCTTGTCCTAAGTGCAGGACTTTGCCCCTGTCCTTATTGAACGTCATAAG